TCGCACGTCGCCGCCTCGTTGCGCACGCACACCAGCACGGCCGACAGCTGGTCCTGTAGCTCCTGCTCTCTGCCGTCCCAGTAGTTCAACTCTGTAGGGCAACGCACGGGCAGACGTAACGTGAGTGCGCATACGTAACGTGAGTACATGTACGTAACGTGAGTACATGTACGTAACGTGAGCGCGCGTACGTAACGTGAGTACACGTACGCACAGGGGAGTATGGTTGTAGGGTAACGTTAGCACGTATGTGGGTATATAATTATGTATGATAGCGTAAAATAACAGTGCATATAGGTATATAGACATAATAGATTATAGTGCATATATATATGTTCACTAAACTGAAGTGCAGAAAATAAGCAGAACTGATGCGTGTCATCTCCCTCGACACATGAAGCATCACGATGTGTGTGTGACATCGTGACGCTGTGTGTGACATTGTGACAGTGCATGTGACAGCATGTGTGAAGCCGTGTGTGTGTGTGTGACATCGTGACGCTGCGTGTGACATTGTGACAGCACACGTGACAGCATGTGTGAAGCCGTGTGTGTGTGACATCGTGACGCTGCGTGTGACAGCATCAGAGCGAGCGCGTGCGTAGTACCTGTGTCGTAGTTGTTGAGCTGTGACGTCTGATCGGTTAGTCGCTCCTGCTGTAGATGCACGAGCTGGAGCACCTCGTCGTACCGCACACCCGCACGATCAACCACCTTCTCACGAAACTCACTCTCCCTGCTAGAGGGCGCCACCTCGGCAGGCGGCTGGCCGGGGCCGACGCGACCATCTGCGTATCGGTCGTCATCATCATCGGCGAGCGGCGGCGGCTGCGGCGGCGCGGGACCAGGGGAGTCTTCGCTGATGATGTTGAGTGCGGCCTTGAACGAGTCAGTGCGCTTCGGGCCGTGGTGTCGCACCTGAGCAGGTAATTCTCGTTAACGGCGGGAAGGCATGATACGAGCCAGTCGTTAGGGTGCGCTCGCACCTCGTTACTGTGAACTTAATATTACTTATTGTTTATTATAATACTGAGTAGCATATTTTGTTAATATTTTTTTATCTCTGTTATAATTATCGTTGTTATTTGTTGTTTACTTATAATAATTTGCTTGTTTCTTCGTGACACCACACTGCCTCGCTGCGCGTACCTGGTTGTAGGACACCAGCACACACGGTGACACCAGTACGCATGGTGACACCAGCACGCACGGTGACACCAGCACACACGGTGACACCAGCACACACGGTGACACCAGCACACACGGTGACACCAGCACGCACGGTGACACCAGCACA